TGACAGAGGCTGCCCCTTCCTGAGTTGTCCTTGGCAGAGGTATTTTACTCCTGTCCCCTTTGCCCAGCATTCTGAATTCCAAAGAAAGACCACACCTAAGTGATTAAAATGCTAACTGCTAATTAATTTTTCTTTAGATTTACAGAATCCAGAATAGCTGGTGACCTTCAGATAAGGACAGAATGTGAACCTCCCATTTTTATCTAATTAGTCTTTAGTCCTGTGCATCAACTAATGCAAACTATGTATATTTCTTTGAGGTTAAATTTGCAGATAAATGTTTATCAAAAGAATTACAGAAATTAGGCCCAGGAAGTCAAAGTTGATTGCAGTGTTTGACCAGAGGGGGCAAAAAACAGATACACACCCTGGATGAATGAGACTTCCCCAGCATGTAATCTTCCTGCCCATTGCCCCTTGAACTTCCTCTTTCTACTTATGAAAACCTTTTCACATACCTGAGTTCCCTAAAATAGTTTTTCCAGAGGGAACAATAGTCCCTCCATCTTGTTAGAGTGCTGGCCTTTGAAAAAACCTGATTTCCTTACCCTCAACTTTCATCTCCCAAGTACTGTCTTTCTACTGGTGAGCAGGTAGACTTGAGTCCCCTAACACCTTGATCTTGGATTTGATCCTCTGAAACTGTGAGCTAAATAAATCTATTTTCCTTTTATTTCATTCTAGTAACCCAAAACTAACACCAAAACTTACATTTAAAAAAAAATCAACCCATTACTAATCAAAAAATGTGAATAAAATATATTTTCAACCTATCAAATTGGCAAATATTTTCTTAAGATAATATGTAACTGGCAAGAATCAGAAGGTTGAATCATCAAAGATCAAAAGAATGTATCATTCATTAAGAGCAAGCACATGAACTGCTTGAATATTTCTGGAAAACAATCTGTCAAAGTCATAAGAGCCTTTAGTATGTGTCATCCTTTATCTGCTTCCAGGAAACGATGAAAAGGTGAGTAGAGATCTTCTCAAACATACAGGGTGCAGTGTTGTATTCATATTTAAAAGTTAGAAAAAAGTAAAATCCCCAATATAGAGATACTTAAACAGATCATTTTAAGACGGGAGATTAGGGTAAGGCAAAGCTGGCTGAGGAAGTAGGCATGGCCTATTAATTACAGGATCCCAGGACACATGTGCAGAACAGTTCCAAAAGCTCTGCATGTGGACTTCTCATCAAAACTAAAGCAGGTTTTTGATAGAATGGCCTAGACGTGATGTAAGCCTGAGGGCTGGATGATACAAAACATGGTCCACACTGAATCTTTGCACTATGTTCTTGCTTGCATGATGCCCCACCCTCAAGCTATAGGATATACTTTTCCCACTTTTACCTGGCCCAAACTCAATCTCCAGAGCCTGTTTCTTTTCCTACCTTTAATAAAACTGCTACTATTTGTGTTTGTGTTAACCAATTCTTTGCTCAGGACAGAAAGAACCTAGAAACCACCTCCGGAAGGAAACTCTAGAGCCCCAAAACCTAGTAACGTATTTGGTTTAGCCAAACGAGAGAGCAAGTAAGGCCCTTTGGGCATGCCCTTTTCTCCTTGCATGTCTGTTCTCCATGATATTTTGCTCAGCTTCCTTAGCCTTTTGGGAAAAAATAGCTGTTGGTAACTTGGTAGCCAGCCTGAGTAGCCACCTACCTCATTTTGGTTCTTTTTGTACTCAGAGTCTCATCTATGCTTTCTCTCTAGATGGCCGTCTCTTTCTCAGGGTGCTTAGTCAAGGTCACCATTTTATCTTGTCACATAGCTGTCCGTCATCTTGTCTTGTCACCTGGCTATCTGCCATCTTGTCTTGTCATGTGACTTTCTGCCCAATTTTGATCCACATGGGTTCCACCATGTTTGTTTCCCTTCCTCGTTTCTTCTAACAAAATGCAGGTAATTGAGTAATATATCCCTGACAGCCTGAGCAGGATGAAAGAACAGCCAGTAAAGCTTAATTCAAGTGACTGAGTCAAAGGTAGAGTCATCCTTTTTCTCAGGATTTTTAAAGGTTTTTTCCTTAAAAAAAAGTTTTCCATCTCTACTGCCTTAAACAAAGTACCAAAATTTTTACTGTTACGGTAAATGCAAGAGATGTTGTTTCTCAAGTGGTTCTACCTTGCTTAAGTAGAACCACCAAGTGACTCATAATGCCTAAGAAAGTCCTAAGGTATTGATTCTCAGGTGGCTCCATCCTGCTTAAGCAGAGCCATCAAGTGGCTCAATGTGGCTAACAGAGTCTCGGTGGGAAGAAATCACCTTGATCTCCTGGGAGTTTCAAAGAACTAGGTGAAACCATCAAGTGGTTCAACCCCTTAAGGGAACAGGGAAAGGGGACATTACTAGAACCTCTGCAGGAAGTCCTAGTCTCCTGTGAGCCACAACAGCACAAGACAAATTAATTTATTAGACAGAAAAGATAGAAAAATGAGACTTAGAAGGGCCAGGGATTTAGCTCATTGGTGCCGCTGCCTGCCTCACAAGTGCAAGGTCCTGAGTTCGATCCCTGGTACCAAAAAATGAGACTTAGAGAAGAAGCTGAGCTTTGGGCCTGATTAATGCTGCTCTGGGCAGCACAGAAGAAAGACCCCAAGCTTACCACATCTTTATTCAATACAAATTGAGTAAAGATTGAGAAACAAATGCAACAGATGACTCAGAGGGCAGCGAGTTCAGTACATCAAGAGTAAAAAATATAAAAGATGACTCAGAGGGCAATGGCTGTGAAAATCCTAGAATAATGAGGAACTATGGAGATGAAGATTTTGGTCCTCCCCAGGATGTCTTTAGCTGGTGTAATCTTGCCCTGGAGTATCACAGCATCACAGGACTATTGAGGTTTTAGCTGTGACCAGAGGCCTAGATGGAGTTATGTCTCCACATGTCAAAGCTGGTCTGTAGGCAGGAGAACTAGGCCTAATCATAATCTTAATTGTGAAATAATTTTTTCCCAAAATTATATAAAATTGCTCCTGACAAACCCCCTTTATCTAAGGAGTTGATAGGCCCCATATGGAGACTAAAAGCTCTCAGTAGGGCTTTTTTCTATGCTTCTATGAAGGATACCAGCATCATCCTAGCTTTGGACAGAGATGTCTGTCTTGTAAATGCTTGAGTCTCACAAGGGATCCTTTGTGGGCTCATCAAATCTCCTTCTGCATGGGACACCATTTTAAGGATTCAAGACCTAGCAGAGTCATCAAGCGGCTCAAAATGATGCTTCTGTGAAAGATACTGGCATCATTTTAACTTCAGACAGAAATGTCTTTCCAGTGAATACTTGAGTCTCACAAAGGACGCTCACTGGGCCTTCTGCCACCATCTTACGGACCCAAGACCTAGTTGTCTCTCTATATAGGTCACCTCATGAACTACGCCCTGCACTTTCCACTGACCTTGCCACTAGGCCATATCCTTGATAAATGGGAAAGATTTGACCCTGCCAATTTAAAAAAGGAACAGCTTATCTACAGTTGCAATGTGGTTTGAGTTTACTATGAACTAGGAAATGGCAAGAAATGGATACACAATGGCAGTTTAAATTAGGAGACTACTTTTCAATTAAGCTGTTTCTGCTTAAAACATAGAAGGTAGAGTGAAATCCCTTATATTGGGATTGTGTAACTCTTTATCTCAGGAAAATCCCAGAAAACTCTGGTATTTAGAATGGTCCAGGGCAGGGGATTTAGCTCAGTGGTTTCACCGCCTGCTGTGCAAGCACAAGGACCCGAGTTGGATCCCTGGTACCAAAAAAAAAAAAAAAAAAGAATGGCCCCTGAGGAAGAGAGATATATCTTTAATGATCCTGTCCTCAGATCCCCACCTGTTTCTCAGGGGGACATGGATCTCTCCCATCTGCTTAATGAAGAAACTTCAGATGGGATTCCAGATGCCTATGACCCAATTGCTGGACATAGTCTTTTCTGTGTTAAACAGTTGGGATTTGGAGGAGGGTTAAAAGAGAAAAGCTAGAATTAAAGCTGTCACAATTGGCAATGCTTTAAACCCACCCAAATCACCTAAGGGAAAACTGAAGGATGGCCAAGGGCAAGAAGACTGGACACTCGGCACACAACTTCATTGAGCCACTGCCTAGGCCCTGATTCAAGTGTGAGGCAGCCAATGTGTCTCACTCGTGGCACTGGAAGGTTGACTGTCCCTGTTCCCGGGGCGGGGGGTAGGCCAGCCGAAACACTTGTTTCCTGCTCTAAAGAGGCCCAAGGGGACCTACAATAGCCCAGTCCACGTATATTACCATTTCCTGTCAGGAATCCTAGGTTACACTGGAGGTCATGAGAGACCCCATTCAATTACTTTATTCTGTTTCAACCGGAAAACCCTCCTCTAGATCTATAGCCGTAGTTGGGGTTGAAGAGACCCTTAGTTGTAGATTCTTTTACCCCTGCTCTGACATGTCACTTTGAAGACCAAATGTTTACCCATGAGTTACTAGCTGTTCCACAGTGTTTGCTCCCTTTCTAGAAAGAGATTTACTAACAAAATTGGGGCCAGTCTCAAATTCCAGCAAAGGTCAAAATGAATTTTACCTGTTGGGACTGTGCCAGGTCTCCCTGTCCTAAATAGCCAATAGGTGGATCCTACTGCATGATATAATAAGATATGTGACTAAAGAAAACCTTTCTTCCGCTACATATCAGAAAAGAGAAGAATTGTTTTGGATGTCTTGACCCAAAGGCTAAGACAAGAATTCAGTCCACGGGCGGGGGCGCCGCGCGCCAGCAGGTGGGCGCGTCCTCCCCTCGCGCGTGCACAAGGCTTCTCCCTCGCGTTCCCACGCACCTTGTCCTGTCTCTCCTAGAGCGCTCGTCTCCGCTCTCGCACTGGGTCCTGCTGGGTCCCAGCAAGCCTCACACTCGCCGGAGCCCCTGCCGGTCGCCCCGCCCCCGCCACTCCCCCTCCCTTTCCCGCCCTTCTCTCTCACCCGGCGAGCAGGAGATCCTGCGGCAGGCTCGAGAAGCTGGTTGGAAGATGGAGGTGCCGCGCCTTCAGCATGCCTTCAGCAGCCCCACCGGCCCCTGTGAGGAGGTGATCAAAAACCTCAGCCTGGAGGCCATCCAGCTGTGCGACTGGGACGATTGATAATTTTTAATATGACTAAAGTACGCTGGGTGAAAAAATATCATCATTAGAGAGAAAAGAGACCTTTGGATTGACATCAATAATGGACCAGATATTTTTTCTCTAAAGTAACAAACCACAAGACAGTGGCATAGCAGAGATGGAAGAACTTCCTGTACCACGTAACAGCAAAATAAGCAATATCACATGTGACTCATTTAAGATTTCATGGGATTTAGCTCAGTGGTTTCAACGCCTGCTACGCAAGCGTAAGGACCCGAGTTCGATCCCCGGTACAAAAAAAAAAAAACAAAAAACGATTTTATGGGAAACGGATTCAAAGTCAAAGGACCGTATTACACACTGTTTCACTGACCTCAACAAGAAAGAGAACAAGTACTCCAATAAATTTAAACACAAGGATGTTCCTACAAATTTGGTAGCAAAAGCTGTACCCTTGCCTATGACTGTCCGTGGACACTGGTTTTTGAGCCCAAGAACTAAATATACAGTTGCAGTTCAGACTGCCTCAAATCAAGTTGATGATGATTATGCTGTATCTGAATGGAGTGAAATTATAGAATTCTGTACAGCAGACTATTCAAAAGTTCATCTAACACAACATTTGGAGAAGGCTAAAGTGATTGCAGGACATATGCTTAAATTTTCTGGTTTTTATCGTAAGCAGCATAAAGAATATTTTGCCTATATTCGAGAACACCATGGGAATGCTATGCAGCCTTCTGTCAAAGATGACAGTGGTAGCCATGGCCCTCCTATCAGTGAAAAATTAGAAACCATCTTCTTCAGCTGCAGTCCTGAATTCAATACTGGGAAGCCACCTCAGGATTCACCTTATGGAAGACACAGGTTTGAGATTGCAGCAGAAAAACTTTTTAACCCCAATAATAACTTATACTTTGGGGACTTGTACTGTATGTACACTGCTTACCATTATGTGATTCTTGTTATTGCACCTGTGGGATCACCAGGAGATGAATTTTGTAAGCAGCACCTTCCTCAACTAAATTCCAAGGATAATAAAATTTTGACCTGTACAGAAGAAGATGGCATGCTGGTTTACCACCATGCCCAGGATGTCATTTTAGAAGTCATTTACACTGATCCTGTCGATCTTTCTCTGGGCACCATGGCAGAAAACACTGGTCATCAGCTCATGAGCTTGTCTATTGCAAATGCAAAGAAAGATCCCAGCTGCAAAACCTGTAATATCAGTGTTGGACATTAACACCCACTTTTCTTATTCTTACCCAGCCCTTTTTCTTCCACTAGGAGCATTGATTCTCTGTTGTCCATTTTCATCATCAAATGTTTTCCACTGAAGCATGCACATGCTGCTATCACCAAAAGGAAACTACCACTTCTCAAATTTCATTCAGAGCTGTTTTAGTGTTGAAAAATGTTTTATTCAAGAACTTTACATAATTTCAAATATTTTTAAATACAGTTTCCTAGATTGCTACAAAAGAACGTAAATTCGGTAAGAAATTTAAATCATTAAATATGTTTCACTAGTGTGTGTGTGTGTGTGTGTGTGTGTGTATATATATACATACATACAGAATGACAAGCAGTAACATTTAGCTCTAAAATGCATACCATGTCTATTTTCCTTGTGAAGGCTCAACCCAGCACTGTGTGCAGGCTATGTACAATAGACAAAGTCCTGTGGATGTGAGTCTGTGTTTGCTGCCTCAACTCAGAGCTATGGTAGTTTGTCCACTGGGATGTCAAATTTGAAGTCTGAAGGGAAGAGGTCTGGGGCTGGAGGATAGGTAAGTCTATAGGACTGTCTGATTGTAACATCAGCAATACCAGCAATATCTCCAATTTTTTTCTGGGTCCTTTTCTCAGCTGATGCCTGTGAGGCCATGTAAATAGCTGCCGCTGCCACGGAGATTGGGCTTCTTCCCGGAACCAAGTCCAGCTCCACAGCCTTTCGGGCTATGTGTGTCACTGCCATCTGCACTTGCTTAGGAAGAGAGAGGTTGGAGCAGAACCTGGACATGAAGTTCCCAGTAGTAATCAAATCCCCACTGTTTTTTAAAGCTTTCAATATGAGTTTAAAACATCGGCCAATTTCTTTCTTAGAAATTCATGGTACATCACGTATTTCTTTAAATATCCTAGGATCCCTTTCTTGTCTACAGGCAATATAAAGACAAGCAGAAGCTATGGCATCATTAGCTCTTCCCTTCAGGCTCTTCTGTTCATACTTGCTTGAATAAATTATTTGTTTGATCAACTATATTTTGAGGGAGGTTGATTCTGTCTGCCATGGTAGTTATTTCCTTGAATGCATTTATCATTGCTCAATCAGGGCTACTTATCATTCTTCGATTCTGGCACTTAGAACTGCCAAAACTTGCAGCTTCTGTATCCTTGCCAATCATAGTACACAAATCTCCATTACTCAGAAGAGGATTCTGGACATCTCCAACCCAAGATGGATCTTTTGTTGCTTTGTCACTGCTGAAAGTTCTCCATTCACATCCCACATCAATAACCCAGTCACCTACAACCAGCCCACATTCAGGACAGATCATACCACCAGCTCTGTAGTCCTCCACTAAAATTGCATTGGGATGGTTTAGACAGGTGACTCTTGGAAGAGCATCCATATAGCTGGTAGACACCATCTTCACAGCCACTGCGGTCCCACTAACAACAGCTACACCAAAAACAGGAAGCAATTGTGGCCAAGCCATGCTCTTAAATACCCCTGAAGTTATTATGAAAATTTGCACTACTCTTAATCCTGCCTCTTTGATGCCTACAGAAGTTAGACACTCTTGTAAACAAGTGATCTCCCAGACCTATGTAAGCAGGAAGGACATCAGTGACCTGCCCCTCCAAGACCCTAAAGAAGTATGCTTCACTGATGAAAGTAGCTTTGTCTGACAGGGACACCAAAAGGCAGGTTATATATTGTCAATTCACACCAGGTTGTTGGTGCCAACTTCCCCCAGGCACCTCTGTTCAAAAAACAGAGCTCATAGCTAATGGGGCATTGATAATGGGAAAAGGAAAAAAATTATGTATCTATACAGCCTCCAAATATGTTTTTTGGTGGTACATTCTCATGCAGCAATCTGGAAAGAAGAAGCTTTCTGACTAGCAAGCAATCATCTATAAAACACAAGCAGGAAATTCTACAACTCTTACAGTTAGGCTATATTCCCAAGCAGGTCACTGTCATTCATTGCAAGGGATCTCAAAGAGACATGTCTAAAATCTCCTTGGAAAATTAAAGGCTGATAAGGTGTCAAGAGCCATTCTACATAATTTTTTGGGAAAAAAATCCATTTCATAATTAAAGTACAACTACAGCTGTCTAAGGCCCAATGTCACCTTGCCCTCAAGCCAGCTATGGCATGCGGAGACATAACTCTTTTTTCCTCCAGTCACAAGTTAAGGCCTCAATGTCCTGTGATACTGTGACACTCAAGGACAGGATTACATCAGCTGAAGACATCTTGGTTCTTCGAGAACTGAGTAGTAATAAAAAAAAGAGCAAGGTTTCACCTGGGGGAAAGACAAATTCTTTATTAGCCTGCTATCTCATCCCACCTACTATTGTAAGAGTCTTGTCCTTACCACCCATATCAACATAAGATCCCCAGCAACCTAAGATCCTCACCAAACTAAGATCCTTATCAACATAGAATTACTGCTGCCCCCTAAGACATGTGATACTCCCTCCTATTACTGTGTGTACCCAATAAATAAAGGCTAGCTCAGGAGTGCCTCTGTCTTTTCCCACCCCGAGGCACTGACTTCCCAGCCCTCCATGTACTTTGAAATTATGCAAGTCTCTATTGTCTTTCTTTCATTATATTTTGCCATTCCCCTTTCTAGGCAGTTGGAGGATTGATCACCCTCCAGTAATAGGGAGATAAGAAGGACATCCCTACAGCTTCTGAAGACCCCAGCCTTATTCCCAGTTCCTGAGGAACCATTCTGGTCCTTCCTCAAGGGACACAGTGCCAAGCTATAAAAATCCTACATGGTAAATGATCACTAGAATTTTTATAGAACTAAGAAGAAAGCTATTCCTGAGAACCTCTGGAAGACCTGTGGCTCCTCTTCAGAAAGCAAGACTTCAGTATTATTCTGAGTACAGATAAGTAGAGCCACTAATGAGCCTAATTTATCACAGCTTAAATAGGCACCTGCATTGAGGCTCCTATTTTTTAGATCTATTATGTGGGTAATCTTGCTAAGACTATGGCTTTCAGGCTCTTGATAATTTATCTAACCTGCTTCTTTGCTATACATACTTTGTCCTCCACGAGAAGTGTGGAGTCTGACCTGCTCCTCATCTTTGTGTTCTACATTGCCAACATAATAGTAAAGTTACTTTTTTTCCCCCATCAAACAGACCGCTCAATAGTCACTACCTCTTTTCTCATCGTCTTCTGACAAGTTTTTTTCTTCAATCTAACCAGTGAACTACAAGACCCCAAAGTAATTGAAGAGTACATAATCCCCAGTAGTTTGGGTCTACAGCCCCTTCCAGGTGGAAGAAGCTATAGGGGACAAAGACCTACACTTCCTCAGCACCCCATAAAGAATTATGGGGATTTATGTCTCTCAAGGAAAAATGAGACAGGAGATTAGGCCATGGCAAAGCTGGTTGGGGAGGTAGGCATGACCTATTAATTATAAGATTGCAGAACACATGCACAGGAAGTTCTCAAAGCCCTGCATGTGGACTTCTCAAGAGAACTCAAGCAGGTTTTTGATAGGATGTCAGCCTGAGAGTGGATGATACAAAACAGACCATTCACATTGAGCTTTTGAGACTATGATCTCACTTGGATGATGGCCCACCCTCAGGCTGTAGGGTGTACTTCTTTTCCTACTTTTACTTGGCACAAACTCATTCTGCAGAGCTGGTCTCTTTTGCTACCTTTAATAAAATTTTGCTACCATGTGTGTTTGTGTTAACCAATTCTTTCCTCAGGACAGAAAGAACTAGAAGTCACCTCCAGAAGGAGACTCTAGCACCCCAAAATCCAGTATCAATTTTACATCCATGAAAAGAAATACCATGCACTGTGAAAAGTATATTTCCAAAAAATACCACAATAGCATGCAGAATTGCCCACATGATAAAGCAGGATAATCATCTTGGTATACTATATGCTTCTAATATCATTTGTAACTGTATGTCCTTGTCTTATGCCAAGGAAACATGTACATATAAGAAAACAAGTTACAAAAAAAAAAACAGGTTACAACCTAAGGTAGTAGCACGTCACTTGTCAAAAATATATACATATACAAGTAAAACTGGAAGACTTGGTGTTTAAATATTAGCATCATCTGTGAACTGAAAGAGATTAAAAGATGTTCATGTTTTGCCTTCTTTATCCTGCGCTTTTAGGAAGTATGTAAGTTAGTTGAAGACGGAGGAGCTCAACTTGGACAACTCCTAGGCCCAGGCTTCACTATGAGTCACAGGCAGGAACCTGAGACTGTAGAAGAGGGAGCAGTCCTATGTCAGGGGACATAACAGTGACCTCAGCTCATGCTGCTTAAAGCTCTAACATGGTAGCGTGGTTGTATTTCTGGTTGAGTTTCAGATGGTGTTGGTCCTACCCCTGTTGAGTTCTCTGCATTCACACTTAAGGGGAAGCAGCATCCACCCAAGCCCTGAGCCCTCTAATGAGCCCTCCCCTCATAGCTACCGAGCCAGCCAGTGATCCCACATGCTGCCTCTCCTGTCCCAGCCTCCTGGGGCCTTGCTTCTTCCTGATGCCACAAACCACAGCTCTTGCATTTCCAATGGGCCTGACAATTCCTTCTGTTTACTGACTTATTTTCTGAACACTTGATCAGAATGCTATTCCCACATTTCAAATTCTACTTTCTCTCTATCTACACGTGAGTTATAAAAGAAAACGACAGGTCACCATAGCTACCACTGCATCCCACCAACCACACAAACTAATAGTCCATTCTTCATGAGTCTTTCTCCAGAGAGCAAAAGCAACAAACCAGAGACAAAGAGGGAGGGTGGCCCTCTTGTCCCAGTTTGCCTGGGCCTTTCTGGTTTTAGTACAGAAAGTCCTAAATCTCTGTAAACCTCTGTCCTGGGAAAACCAGACCAGTGGTCACCTAGGAAGGAAATGAAATTCTTTGGCAGTAATATAAAGTGTCTTCTCTGATGCCCAGAGGACTTGGGGATGGATTGCACAATGGCCTGGATGTTAGGAGAATTATTCTTTTAAAAATTTTATTTGGCAGCTAGATAAAGATTTAATGTAAATATCTAAATATTATCAAAAGCAAATAGAGTATTTCCATTACACAAAAACAAGACTTTACAGTTTCCAAGATTCAAAGACCCTTA